GAGAGAGAGAGAGAGAGAGAGAGAGAGAGAGAGATAGAGAGAGAGACAGACAGACAAACAGACAGAAAGAGAAAAAAAAGGAAGTACAAAGAGAGGTACAGAAATAGATAAAGGGGAACAAAGAGAGGGAGAGACTCAGAGAGAAAATGAGAGACACATTGAAAAGACGAGAAAATACAGGTAGATAGAGGGAGAGAGGGTGTAGGTGGGAGAGGAAGAGAGAGAGAGAGGGAGAAAGAGAGAGGGGGGGGGGGATTTGAGCCGTCGTACTTTAGTTCTTGCTACTAAATTGTGTCTCCTTTTCTAAAAGAATTAGAATCATGGTCTACCTTACCATGGAACCCTTTGGGGATTTACCCAGAGTTATACAACTGGAGTTTTCTCAAGCAAATACAGTCTCTAGCTTGACGTGATAGTAAAGTTGTTTCCCGCTCCACATAGTCTCTAGATAGACGTTTCATAGCGCCACCCTAGAATTACGAAATTGTATTTGCGCAGTACCATGTTATGAGAAATTTGACGTTAAAAAAAAGTTGGATTTCACAAAAAGTCAAGCTTTTTAAAAATATGCAATTTTTTCTAATATCTTGATAAAGTACATGTAAAGTTGTTCCCGCATCCGATCCGGAAATTGGGGATTGCCTGGTTACTGAAACAACGTCCTGGGCCTTTGTTATATTGTACGAGGGTGGCCAGTTCCTTTCCACGCCGCCTTTACTTCCCAAACTCGAAGTCAGGTACCCAATAATACTGGGAGGGCATGAGGGGCGGAAAAAATTGTGTCTGAACCGAGGCTCGAACCCGGACTTCCTGCTTCGGAGACGAGCACTAACCGCTCAGCCACCGCATCATCTAATAATCTTACAATTTCGAAGGAACAGGAGGAGTATTTTGTTTCTGACCTCATGGTCTTACTTTACTCAAAACGGCCAAAAATGCCAGATATAACTTTGCTCTTCTAAGGTAGCAAAAACAGTAGGCCCATCAGGCGCCACTATCTTTTCAAGGCGTGGAAGCAAGAGTTAAAAACTCAGCAGATGAACCATTTCTCCATATTCTTTTCTTTTTTTTTTTTTGCTTTTAGTTTAAAGTACGTGTTTTTTTGTCCCCCCGCATCGACACCAAATTAGTAGATGTAGAAGGCGGTCACGCAGGGCCAACCCAGGCTGAGAGGGATACAACATCCCAGCAGAAAGATCGAGATACTCGATTACAATGCTCTCCCCACTCGGGGAAAGAATTCGGGTGACACTCTAGTCTACTGCGTGCGACAGTGAAACGTTTAACTGCAACATCTACACCACAGACGCCTGTTTCTGCAGATATATATTCAGTCCATAGTTGAGTTGACGTGGTGCTATTTGAGCACAGAGAAACACATCATTACAATAACAGCCGTTTGGTGCTAGGACAGACAGGCAGACAGAGGAAAAGCAAAGAAGAACCAAAATGGTGAAATGGTATAGGTTTAACGCTCCTATCAACACTATTAGGTTATTTAAGACCACTAGTACCAGTAGCGCCCTCCAACCACCAACCAGTAGTTGTCAGTCTTGGGCAGTTCGAGTCGCTGTGCCAGTGAGAAAGCACCGATATTGATACGGTACACCTCTGCTTCTTTGCTCAAAACCAAGACCGTCTCTGATCTAAAAACGCTTGAAACTGCCTTGGCTAAAAATATCAAACCACCTGCACTTACCCAGCCAAACGTTACCCCCCCCCCCCTCCTTCTTTCCAACACACACCCATCCAACACACAAGCGCACACACACATCTACATGCACGGACGCACACACACACACACACACACACATCTACTACATGCACGGACGCACACACACACACGCATGCACACACACACACACAATAAAAAATAAACCTAGCACACACCACCAAAGGTGTCATATAATCAAATACAACAATAATAACAGTGAGAATAAAAAACAAGTCAATACAGCTCCTCTGCAGTTCTTACAAAATGCTTTTATTCTTTTGCTTGAGACTTAATCGAAGTGACAAGATAACTACTGGACAACATACAACTTCCATACAAACGTCATTACGTGGGGAGAGGATCAAACTATCAATCATACCTACAAAACGTTAATTTTCAGGTAAAGGGGAAGAAAAAAAGAGATTGCTCCCACACACCGACTCGTGTTCTACACCACTTTAAAACAAAATATTTCAAAATGTATTCACGGCGATTTGTACCATTATAGAGCGAATAGAGCATGCTGCAGAGCATGGATATATGCATGGTATGAATGTAATTCTGACTATAGCCACAAGGCTTGCACTGTGGACAAACAGCACACAATGTCACATATCGACTATCATCACTTATAAGATAATTGCCCAAGTCATTTGTAGCCATTGTGAGAAAATATGAAGAAAAAAAACTACTTCTTCCGAACAACTGACTCCGTGAACGGACTCTGTGAAATGCTTGAATTTTGGGTACCGGTACACTCAATGGGTTTTACATTTGGATTATTTTTTTTTGTCCAAGTGAACTATATTAACAAACAGTCTCTGCTCTTCATTTCAGAACCAAACACTCCAAACCAGCCCAAATGACTCAGGCAATCATCTTATGAGCGTGACGATCTGTATATATCTCTGTCTACAAAATCGTACTTCGAAATACGACACTTTGCTTCCTTTACGTGGGCAACACCACCAACTGGTCCCTCAAGCCAGCAGCCTCACTGTGTAAATCCTGACACTTTTTTCAACGATAGACAATACCATCCAGTTCTTAACTATAGTCTTAAAGTATAAGCGAAGACAACAATAAACACACAATAGTAGTCGCTCGACCTGCTACAACAACTCATGAACAATGCTAAAGCGCATGATACCTACAGCAATGTATCCGGACATAAGACTCACCTACACTTAACTATTATAACCCCATCTCTCCACCCTGAATCCCCCTTACTCCC